AGCAATTTTCGGCCACTATAGGCTAAATGAATAAGAGCTTTGGGTTAGGTTATAGAAATACGGCAAGTCATTCAAAAGCTGTGTGCCAGAGAAAAGGGATACCTTCGTGAAGAACTTTCTAAGGGAAACTGGCTCGCATTCACGTGATAAGATTGTGGGACACTGATAGTTCGTCCCGGATTCAAAGATTCAAACTTAAATACGAGCCAGTTTCCCTCAGAAAATCCTAAAGGCATCCCTTCTTTTAGGCACACATGCCTTATGTGATTTCTTATTTTCAAATAAACTAATTAACTATAAAATTTTTCAATTTACCGTTCAAATTTTAATATCGAATTTAAAGACATTTTCTCGTTCTTAGTCAAAGAACTGATACTTTAGAAACAGTTTTTAACGGTAAGATATAGCTATTTTAATAGTTTTTATAAATGTCAGCTACGTCACACATTTCAGTTGGATTGCCTGCATCAGAGTAGATCGCAACTAACATATTTCTTAAAAACTACTAAACTTCGCTGGGTGCAGTCGTTGTTTTAGGTTATGAGAACTATTTGTGTTAAAGTATGGAAGAAGGTCAAATATGGTTATATCAAATGTGAACTTATCACGAAGGAAGTTTATGAGGAAAGTTTAATTACAGACTGAAAATGGATCAGGTAATCGGTATTTAAGTGATATTTGAAATTAGACGGAACTTAAACCCTATGTACCATGGCACTTGAAAACCGTACACTCTCATAAATATTTTTATTTAATACTTCAGAAATATTCGAACAGGTGAAATACCGTAATGCATATTCAAACAAAAGAAATTTGGGATCTTTAGACTACACACCAACTGTTTTGAAGAGCAATATTTGAAACTCGTAATAATCGCATTCTAATAAATAAGTTGCTGACAAAGTGCTTAAAGGTCCTCGCTTCCATTAATTTTCCTTCCATTTATTGATTCTTTACAATAGTTTATCACGTATCTGAAGATAAAAGGGTATGTGTCTACTTGAAGACAAGAGTTCACGTGCGTTTTTAATGTACAGGTGAGTTACAAATATGGCCATACTATTGAAATAAATATGTCAATGATTGAAATAAATATGTGAGTATTGATCAATGATTGTCAATAATATGAGAAAAACTGGCAATGATTTATTAAATTTGAAACTTGATTTTTTTTAAATTTCAAATGTGAATCATTTGACAAGATAGCTCTGAACATGAAAGCAGCTTACTGCAATATAGACGTTTGCGTTTGTAGCCACCCATGGTGAAACTGATCATTACCCACAATGATCATGAAGCCGTGAGATTGTTGAGACATGATTTTAATTTAACAACGTTGTTTTGACTAGAGCGAATGGAGAAAACGTTTGCTTGAAATCGAAAAATATCCAGAAATGAAAACAACTCGCAGCAGTACTCATGCAGTAACATAACCATTTGAAATGGTGAAGAGTAAAACTGATTGGTATTTTCGGTTAGGCGACTGACATGACCCTATAGTTGAAATATGACTTTATAGTGGCAATGTCATTTCCGTTAAACACAATACTATCATTAGACACTTTGTGATCAAATGTATGGCCATATTTCTGACTCATTCTGCAGATGTATTATTTTTAGTTTGCAAAGCTCGTAAAGCTTCAAAACCGGTAGTAAAATTTTGTATTACTTTTGCAAGTCTAAAACGATTTCATCAAAAAGCATGTACTGTTTATCTCTGTGAAATGTAAATTCCACAACAGACTATGATAAAATTTAACCTCATTCACTCATTTCATTGATCCTCAAGTCGCTGGCCAATCAGGCATTATTTTACTGAGCGAGTAACGGCCCAGTCGGGGCACAGAATTACGTTCGCATAAAGTATCGATATATCGGTAAAACTTAACATATCCGCTCAAATATGCAAGCAGTTTTAATTGACGACGTAAACAATATTTAAACCGTTTCAGTATCAACCTAGCATTATGAATCCTCTGCAAGTAGGTCAAATCTCTGAATTTCCAACTCCAAGACGTTTCTGACTGTCAATAGATACTACAGTGCTTTGATTTTCTAAACAGAATTTGACAATTTGACAAGATCTGAGATACTGCTAAAGTAAGCTTCTTAAAATTAGTATACCTTTGTTGGATATATTTCATTAACTGAACCATCAGCGAATGTCGCTAAGATTATTCTCCTGAATTATATTAATTTCAATAATCGATCAAATTACGATTATTTTAATTACTCCATTGATATAATTTCATTCCAAAATCTTGTTTCAGCATTTTAACTTTTAAAAGAACAGACTACATTATTCAGCAGGGTCTTATTATTGAAATATTTCAGTTACAAGAAAGCACAGGAAATTTAAAAAAAAAAAAAAAAAATTGTGACAAATCTGAACAGTTAATTTTCTTGTTATTGTGGCAGATAGAAATACTAATCACATTCTGTAAATGGAATACAGAACACTGCGTGAAATTCCGCTGTTTAATCCTTTTATCGGGTCATCAGTGGTAGTCCATTGGGAACATCCATTAGAAAGATTTGCCTGTGTTAAGAGGATAATAAATATATTGAAGTTTTAACTCGTTGAGTTCTAAGATTTGGCTACAGGCTTAATATTTATTTTTATATTTAATATCACATTTTTAATTTCCCTTAAATATAATTCACAATATTTAATTTAATAATTCACAATAATAAATCACAATATTTAATTTCCCTTAAATATAAAAATTCAAATTTATATACTCCCCCATTTAAGGATAGCCTTAGTATGTTTTGCCATAATAAAATAAAATAAATCTATTTATCTGTTTATATTATAGTAGGTTCTCTTTCATTTAAACTAACCGGAGCACAGCCGTTTCGGATAATATTGCTTTTTGGATAATCCAAGACCAGGAACGTTTGTTAACAAAAAAAGAGAAAAGAAAGCAAAAAAGATAAAAAGAAAAAGAAATACTTGAAAATAACTTGATTTTGATTAATACCATTTTTTAAATAAATTCTATTAAAAACATATTTTTTATAAATTATACTTCAAAATTTCCTTTTTAAATTTCATATTTTATTTAAATCATTAATGGAAATAATATACATTGTTACCTATAAAATAATTCTTAAATTTTATTTTCATTATTATTATTGTATTTTCCAACTTTCCAGGCATGAACATAGAAAAATATATGGTGAAAGTAAAAAGCATTACGGTTATTGTGTAAATATACATCCTCCCTGCCCCTGAAAATCAGCATAAGTAATAAAAACACAAAATGAAAAAAATTCTTAATAAATCGTAAATTTCAATTTTTACATACATTATCTGTACGATCACTACGGACAAATTTACTCATAAAATGCCAGTAACTCATTTAGAATGTAGAGCTTTTCTTACATAAGTTATTGGAATCCTTGATGCGTCCATTTTTGGTAGTTGAGTACCATTTAGTAAAATGTTTCTATACTAAGCAAATTTTAACAAAAGTAATTTTATCAGTAAGTAACTTCAAGATAGTTTGGAAGCTAGGTCTTAAATAAATTTCACTGTTCACCATGAAACTTATATTATATTGCAGTAATTTATTTTCCTTAAAAATTTTGATTTCTTATAAAGTATTTACATATAAAAACGAAATTATGATAATAATTAAGTCGTTTTAGGGAAAAAAACTGAGGTGACTGGTTTTCTAACTCATTTATTCGATGTTATTTTCACTCCCCCCCACATGGTTTTAGTTAAGCTGTATTTTGGTTAAACAGAGTTTTTTTTCTTTCATATCATTTTCATCCGATTCTCTTCTCTCTGCATTCCACACATAAACATACTACATTGAATTTTAGAACGGAATACGAAAGAATGGAAAACTTTCTATAGCAAGATTTTAAGTTTTGCTTCTTAGAAGATAAAGAAAAAATCAATTACTTGTATTTTGTCTTTCAAGATAAAATTTTCTTTTCAAATTTGATAATGAAATTAAATACAAAAAATTACATTTAATACTATTTTTTTAACTCTGTTAACCTTTTTTAAATGACGTTGCAGTATCTAACTTTACAATCGGACTTATGTTTAAACTTCAATCTGAACATCAATAATAAATCAATTCAATCATAAATAAGGAAATAAATCTCAAATCATAATCCTCAAAATAACCTCGCGATGTTACACTGAAAAGCATTGCATTTAATGAGCAGTTAAGTTAATCAAGTAGCAAATGTAATTCTAATGAATAAACTGACGATATGAACTTTAAAGCTTTAAACAGGTAGTTCAACTAATGACAATAAAAACTGATTGACTGAATGATATATATTTAATCTTTTCTTTTGTCAAGCAAAAAGTAAATGAAACATTGCAGTATAAGATAATTTTTCAACAAATTAATTTACTGCATTTTTTTATATCTACAGCCGTTAGTATTCAATAATGGTAATTAAAATCTTTTGCAAATTTTTTAAGTTCCATACAAATTGTGTTTAATATTTTGCTTTTAATGGGTTAACTAATGCTGATTTTATTGTTTTTCTCTACAGTGTCTAAAATAAATCGTACATAAGAGCACAAATGCATAGATTAAAGAATGATATTTTAAAACAATTCGGTATCTAAATGTATCTATTATTTAAAAGTTTTGAAGTTGAAATGCTACAGAATGAAAAAAATTTACTATTAATTTAAACTGCATACTTATTTTGAAGAATTTCATATATAGGAAAAAGAGAAACAAAATGTTGAGTGGCAGCACCAAGAAGTTTTCAATCAAATAATTTCTTGGATATCAAACATTAACTAATTGTAACAACCAACGCATTTGTAGAATACAAAATTATACGAATTATATCAAATACAAAGTAGAATTGCAATGGTTATAACGAACTAAAATTAGAATTTCAATGGTTATAAAAAACTAAAGAGATTCATCATTATTAATTAAGCATCATCGTAATTAATTGAATCATATGATCGAAATTTTTTTAAACAAAAATGCAATAAAAATTTAACATACCAAGCAACCTGTTTACTTCGTGAGGCCTTAGATACAAATTAAAAGACGCTGCCACATCTCTTAAAAGTAAAAGACATAGGTTCAGTACTATTTGTGCTGTTAGCATTCGCACCATAACAAAATCAGGGGCCATTGATACTTCGTTATTGACAATATTACATTGTGTGCAAACTGTTGCCCCTGGGTATGTCGTGAAATATTCGTCCAGTAGATAATTGAGTATAATGGTACATCATAGTTCGTTCATGCTGTTTTTCTTTTCTGGTATGAATATTAGAGTCATCACAAATGCAAAAATGCTATTTTTTGAAATCTATGACTATTTAGGTGTTTTGGAACATTGGTGCTACACACTTCATTATATGGAACGTAAAATATACAAGAAAATCATCACATATAGAAAAAAACTCTTTCTTAAGCTGTTCGATACGGATAATAAAGACGTGAGTTTCAAAATGATTATTTTCTAAATCTTTAGAAGACACAAAACACCTAATACGTTTGACAACGAAAGGAAAAATAATGGCCAAGAATCCACTTCGCAAGCGCTCCAGCTGCTTGCTGGGCCCGGTATGGTGAACCGGGTTGCTAGGTTACGGCGTATACCCGCGAATGGCCGTTGGCGGAATTACCTCGTCGCCAGATCATGATCACGTCTGATCGCCAAACCTAGGAGCGGTCTCTTATTTCTTCTTCAGTTGCGCCCCTCATTAAACTTTTGACATTTTCTATATCGTAAATTACTAGAAACAAGGGGGAAAAACTGACACAGCCAATAGTTATATTTTTCTGTAGACTAATCTTACGATCCGATCTTACCCTGAGGATATTCCTTATCAGGTACAACGAAAATGATGTTAGAATCTCGTTATCGCTGTGGTTTTAACCCTTTGTTCAACGAAATCATTTAAATGAATATTTTTTCCAACTTTTGTATTTCAATCGTGTCGAGGTTGCTATTTTACATTAAGAAGATTTTTATTACGAAAAAGAAGAAAGACTTCAGAACGCTATAGTATTTTATATCTTCAAGTGAATCTCTTAAATTCTATGGATGCATTTTAATTTTAACTAAAATTATTGTTTACCGTATATGGTGATTTCTTTCAAATTGTCTTATCCTAAATTAAATATATTTACCAAGATAATTGTCTCATACGAGAATACATATTTTGTTGGGCCTTACCACATACCTTCAGTAATTTCAGTATGAGACAGAAATATAGTTACATGTCTAAACTAAATGTTTTATATCGAATAACAGTTTTCTATCTTATGTCATCAGCCACAATGGCTCTGAACGTGCATCAGCAAATTACAGATGCAGTATGTGATTTGTATTGGCAATCACCCATACTGCAATTGATAATTGTCTGGAATGATCTGACTAATAACTTACCATTGCTTAGAATGATTATGAAGCCCATAGAGTGGACAGGTATGAATTTAAATGCGACACTCCTGAATTTAAACGCTATGGGGGGAAGGAAAACGACTGCTCTCAATGGGAAAATATCCAGAAATGAAAACTCCTGGAAGGACTTTTAATAGCACCGATGGAGTAACATTGATAATTACTAATCGCTAATAGCCCCCTCCCCTCCGAAAGAAAAATCAGTTGCTTGAGTCTGGTTAGTATGCTTGCGCATTTATTCTTTAGTCTCAAGACTTGATTTTTCAACGGCAGTATCTTATTTCATCTAGCTGTGATACATTTAATACATGAGAGGATCAGATTGGAGCATATTTCTGATTCTTACTGTGTATGAAAAATAGTGGAAGAGACTTAAAATGTTGAGCAAATAATGTGTGTAATATATTTATTTGAAACTTAGTCATATATAATGGCTAATGTTTAAGTAAGTAATAAATAAATATTTAGCATAATTTCCAGGATTTTTTTTTTTTTTTTTAATGTTTCCGTTGTTTCGGGTTTTTGTTCTCTAGGTAGAAGGAGAATGTGGCTTGACGCTTATGCGTCGAAGTTTAATATTAAATTTTATGAAAGGAGAGCTATATATATATATATATATATATATGATTTAAGTAATAGCCGTTGTTAGCTAGATGTTAATTGCGCATGTTGACTGCGACCTGTTGACAAAGAAATAGTAAAAAAAAAATGTATTGTTTCTGAATGAAATGAAATGTTCTTGTTTTCTTTCTGAAAAGCACGAAATGGGATATCCCGCCGAATTTTGCTTTTATGTCTAATTTTAATTTCCTTAGCTGAAGTGAAAAAATAAAAACTTTTTTAATTCGCATAATAACGAACTATTTTAGCTTTTTTAGGCCAAAGGAGGTAGTGAAATTTGAGCATTATTCACTCTAAGTGTCTACGAAAATCTTATGAATTATTTGTCGGAATGAAATCAAGAATGTAATGCTCTTTGTTTATTTTGTTCATTTTCTCGACTTCCTAAGAACCAAGAGAAATGACTGGAAAGCTTTTGTATAATGTATGCATTTATATATGACAATCAACCTGCAAAAATGGGAAGGCTAACTCCTCTCACAAGGTCCTTCATAAAAACATCTGTCCATATAAACAAGAGAGTCGTAAAGTGTTTTGTCATAAGCCTACTCAGTCTAATTATCCTACCTAATCCTATCCAATCGAGTTCGACCAACAAAAATTATTGATGGTTAAGTATCTTAAGGTTAACCAGAAAATAATAATGGGACTTTATGATAACTGGTAGTGAGATAAATGACAGAGAATTGACGATCATAATGTCAAAAGCAGCTTATATACAAATATGCTAAAGCTATTATCTTTGTATCGAGGAAGCGGTAACATCAGCATCAAATCTGATCAAGCTAGTGAATCGTTATCGTAGTTTGTAGTATACAGTGATTCTGCAATACATCTTATACTTTAGCTTTCCGGAATGGAAGATAAAAAAGTGAACTATTATATCTTCCTAAAACCTGGATTTCATTCCATTGAACAGAGGAAAAAAGGGGTATGGCAAGATAAAGAACTGGCTTACAGTGAAAAAATTGAAAATCTTCTTTACCTGTATCACTGCAGAAGGAATGCTGCACCTGGAGTGGATCACTGCATAAATTACGCAAACACTAACTCAGGATACTCTAAAAAAAAGTTACTGGACTTACTGCAGGATGTAGAGAATGTTAATATTTTAAAGATTATTTGCAAAACACTTGTTTACATTAATTTTAAAAACATCACAAAATTCAGATTTATTTTATTTATAAAAATAGTTATGAGAGGAATTAAATGCGTTTTGAAAATATTAAGTAACCTCATCTGTGTCATTCGAAACAAAGACATTAAAACTGCATATTCAACTTAGTCAACTGCCCAATAAAATACAATTTTTGATAAAAAGAAGTAAGGGAGAATCATATTTGATTATATTGATAAAATTTAAATAAATCAATTTCCACACATGGCCTATTACACCTAATAACATGCAATTCAAAATTTCACATTACAGACCTTTCTATTTATGGCCGCACAGACAAAGTTGCTAGTTACTCTAACTGCAGCACGGATTAGAATCCCATAGAAGGCATGGATGTAAATTTTCTGTCCATTCGCAGAAGACTCCGGTGGTTTGCCTATTTAATGCCTCCCTAATAAAGTGACCACCGCTTCTGGCCTTAGCAGTGAACAACATCTATAACGGCTGGGTCAGCCATTTATGGGGGGGGAAAAGAAAACCTTCCTGTTTATTGAGAAAAAATTAGATTTTGTTTACTAACGATCAACCAGACGTGATACTTTACTTGGCGTGATACGAGTTCTTTGCTATTTGAAACATGGAATTGGCAGAAGGTTATATGCTGTCCACATCAAAATTAATTAATTAACTTTTTTAACATTTCAGTGAGTTAGTGAAATAAAAAAGCATTTAATTCATGATAATATCTAATTTAAAATATTAAATATTTTTATAGAATTGCATGTTACATAGCCCTTTTTCAAACAAACAGAAAACACAGTGTGATCATAAAAAAAAAAAAAAAAAAAAAAAAAAAAAAAAAAATCTTCCTCGATATATGAACTTATTTGAAACTATGTGCTCAAGATTTGTTAATTTAAAAAAAAAAAAAAAAAAAAAAAAAATGCTCTCGCGGCTATGGTTTTAGTGAAACAATTCTGAATTTTCAGATAGCAATATACTTTTTTTCCTGCTTAAACTGATCAGAAATCATAAATGGTATTGGAAAGAAACACGTATGACGAAAATTGCCGGTGTAACACATTTGCAAAGAAAAACATTGTAAAGAACCAATGACAACTGAGGACAGGAGGGGGGGGGGAGACTTTTATCGGAATTACAAATTTCCAACATGTACAACGTTTCAAGATAACGTCATCTTCCGTGACCTTGTAGTTTCGTAGCCACCGTGGTCCCCCAACCTCACTTCGATGAATTTCTGGTTACAAGGTAGGGCCCACCAGCGGCCGAGCGGTAAAGTCGCTGAACACTGCTAGTTCGGTCCGAGGTTCGAATTCCGCGAACGGGCTGCATGGGTGTTTTCGTGGTTTTCCCCATGTGTAACGTGTATACGAGCCAGTTTCTCTTAAAAAGTCCTCCACGAAGGCATCCCTCCCCTTAGGAAGATAGCCCTAGTGTACTTTGCCATAATTAAATACACCATACACCAACCTGGTTATAAGGTAATCTAAAATATAAGGTGTACAGGTCAAATCCACGAGCTTTGTCGGAATTGAAAGATGCCATAAAACGTGATGACATACAGATTCCTCTTACGATATTACGTTCGTCATTGCTATCAACAATCTGGGGCATGCAATGCGTTATCGTGTAATTCCAATAAAAGTTTCCACCCTCTTTTGTCTTTTGTTATCGCTGGTCCTTTATAATACTTTCTTTGCAAATGTTTCACACCGGCAATTTTCGTCGTACGTCATTCGTGTCTTTGGAACACTATTTATGGTTTTTCAATGCGCTGATCACTTTGTACAGGAAAAAAAGTATGTGTTGCCTTTCGATATTTTGCTACTGTAACCGTAACCGCTCTATTCTATTAAATCATCACAATCTCAAGCGCATACCTTCAGATAATAATATCTGAATTTTTATTTGGATTGGTTGAGCGGACAGGCCGCTAGTTCATTTATCAGGGAAGTTTTCTTTATGACTACCCTGTATACAACGTTCCCAAGTGAGTCTAAGCCTATATTCATCTAGTATCCTGTAAAATGTTTCGTTGTTCCACTTGTGGCATCTTTACTGATCAACTAACATTAAAATAACTCTTTCGAACGGCCATTCAAATTCTTTTGTTTTAAAGAATAATAATAACAGCTGAAAAGAGAGCTTACAACTGAATTCCCTTTTAATTTTTAAAAACTGAGGGCTGTTCATATTTATGATTATTTTCAATGTGTAACTGGGGATAACGAAGAATTAATTCCATTTACACATAAACTAATCATATATCCAAACACAAAGAAATGATAAACTGTATGAAAACCTCGAAGCCCTAAAAAGAATTGATTACTTTTGGTCTATGTTCATCGCTTGGGATCCTGATGCTCTGTCCTTAATCCTAAAATTATTCAATGCTGTAGCGTCATACTACTTGAATGCAGATATT